TTGTTGTTGTTGTTGTTGTTTTTCCTGGTTCTGTTGCTACTGCTGCTGCTGTTGTCGCTTTAGACACAGATGTTCTGTTAGTGTTAGTGCTGTCATGAGTTCTTTTTTCACTATGATCATCATCTTCATCGCTGTTGTTGCCGTGGTTGTCATATGCTGGCCAACTGAGAGCATATAATCAGATACCATGCCAGCTTGGATATATATCATTATTTTTGGTATGTCACGCTTTATAATTCGACTTTTTGGCACTGATTAAGTTTTACCAGTATTGACTTCAAGCTGCTTTTCTAATGACCTGTTGAAATGTATCAAGAAGTTGCTTTTTGCTAATGGTTTTTGTAGCTGTCATTCTCGTCAGAACCGTACCAGAATCGGCAGCACCAACACTAGCAATAGCAGCAGGAGCAGCAGCAGCAGCAGCAGCAACAACAACAACAACAACAAATACAAAAACAACACCACTGACATCTCATCAGTGTGTATATTTGTGTGTATGTTGTCGTCGTTGCCGCCGGTTACCGTTGCTGTCGTTGTCGTTGTCTTCACCACATTCCACACCGATTTTGTGCGCCCTGAAGCGTATAAAATGCACTCTAAACCCCGATCCCGAACACTGATACACAAAGCAGAGCAGTACGACAACTGCGACGATCAGCAAGAGGAAAAGAGAAGGGGACAAAGAGCGGAGGGAATGGTAAATATGGGACAAAGGCAAACTGATGCAACAGAAAAAAAGGAAGTTCAGTGTTGTTTGTTGGTTAACTTAGGTTTATGTAACGAAGAAACCATGCAACCTACACAAATAGTGCAACAAATTAAAAAGAGGGGAAAAAAAAAGGAAATGGATACCCCACACCCCAAAGTATCGTTATTTTTGTCAGTTTTAACTCCAAATCCCCCCCCCCCCCCAAATCCGCAATTCTTTTTAGCTATTGGATTATGTTCAATGTAGGGAGAAACTGGTGTTTGTATCAATATATCCACTTCTGTTTTTATTTTTTCGTTCTTAGTTAATCTGTTTGGGTCTACATTACAGTTGAATTTGTTTGCCGATTAACTGTGGTTCCAGGCCTGGTTCAGGAATGCAAATGTTTCGTCGTTGTTTATTTAATCGTTTAAGTAGTTATTTAAAGGAATAAATGTATTTTTTTAAAAAGTATTTCCGGTTTACGGAGTACAATGAATTTTTTTTAATGGGAAAAAATGCGGTCATTCACAGACTACAACAGCAGCGACAGCAACAGTAAAAAAGGTGGTTAAAAAAATTTGTGGGTACATAAAATGTCGGGGAAGGGGTGGAAGGCGGGGGTTAAGAGTGGAAATTTGGTATGCGGCTCTATAGATGGTGTATAACTGCATATATCAGCTTTTTTACTGGGCGGTACTAAGCATCAATATTGGTCTCGTATTGTAACAGTAATTCGTTACTTTTATAACAGATATGATATTTACTGTGAAACAGATGATTGCTAAGGGAGGAGAAGTGCTGGAGGAATACTAAACAGTAAGGTGCAAAAAACAGCTGAGGCAAAGAAGAGGAAGCAAGGTGGGGGCTACGGCAGAAGAAGAAAGTTATAGATAATACTGTAATCATATGTTTCTTATTTTTTGTTTTTGCTATTCTTTTTCACAAACAGGAAAAAAAAGCAAACAAATGAAAAACACTACTGTTGTTAAAAGATCATTATTTAGCCGTTGATGCTGGGCAAAAATGAGCCCTACTAAACCTACAGTGTCAGTTTTCTGACTGTCAGGATCAGTGCAGAGGAAAAAAGGAACGAAAAGACCGAGATATTGGGATAAAACAGAAAAAAGACTCAGCTACTTAGCAGTTAAAAGAAAGAACTATTCTTCAAAGAAGAGAACAGCGAAAGCAAAAAATAAAAATTTTTTTTGCTGCTAATGTGACGTAATTGTTGGCGGACCATTCCGACAGAAAAGTTAAAGTAGCCCAGTCCTCTTCCCCTCCAAAACCAAAAAAAGTTTTTTCTTGAGGAGGAAAAGGTGAGGGACTACTTCAACTTTTTTACGGAAATTGTTTGTCAATGATTACATCATTATGGCAGCAAGAAAAAAACATATACATATATGTAATAATAATACATTGAATGACGGTGAAAGAAAAAAAGGAAAAGAACTTTTTTATTCCTTTTTTTCTTCTTTAAAGAAACACAAAATTTTTGTTGATGACGATGATGGGAAAAAAAGAAAGGAATGCAAGCGGACTGGCATAAGTGACTACTTGGAAATTAATAACTGTCATCAGATGTATTATTCAGTTGACAACCAACCGGTTTCTCCTCTGGTATTGTATCGGCAACATTTCGAGAGCATACCGAATGGCCATTGCCGTAACCTCCTTTCCCTTCATCTCAAAATCCTTCTGCACTTACTTGAAAGCTTTTGCAGTTTCAAATTGCTCTTCCTCCTTATCTTCACCTTCTGTCTCCAATCGCTTTGCTCCTACGAATCCCAAGATTTGTACTTTTTTTTAAAAGTTAATTGGCATTTATTATTCAACCAAATTTTCAGAAAGCACAATTCAAAAGATTTTAACTAGACATATTTGTGTATTTGGCAAAGTGTACAGTGACGACGAAGATGGTGATGACGACATTGATTTCGGTGATGTAGAAAAAAAATTTTTTTCTTTTTTTTCTTGACTTCTTTTTTTTCTTTTTCAGAAGAATTTTCACTATGTAGTATGAGAAGTGTATGTGTATGAGATGTGTATGTCTGTGAATGTGTGTGTGTGTTTTTTTTTTTGTTGATTTTATATCTTACAATAAAAGAATAAAAATGATGGTATGTTCGAAGAATAAAAGGAAGAAAACCATGATTTGCAAAAACTGTTTGTTTGAAGATATTGAGAAGATAAAAAATAAGATTGTTACCGAAGATAAATGTATAGGAGCCGATCATCGCAAAAATAACTTTTTGGCTCAAAAATGTGCGCCATCTTTTGTGTTTTAGGAATTCCACAACAATTTTTCCAATAAAACACCATCACCATCATCGCCATTATCGTCATCACCACCATCATCATTACCCATCAATATCACCATAAACCACCCCCCTCCTCCTATACCCCTTATAACACTGTTTTCTGACCCGCATTCTCCCCTGTTTCTTCTCATCGACCCGTTCCTCTTGGCCATTTTTTTTTTTTTCATGTGCTCCATCGGCGTCCTATTCCATCAACTAGCTTTCAGTTCTTAATTTTTAGCTCATTTCTGTCAACTTCTGTCTTAGATTATAATTTTTTGCAGGAATAATCATCGTGTTTTTCTTTTTGGGTTGATTTAGTCATTTCTTCTATTACCGCAGAGTTTAAAAATACTACCGTTGTAAAACTTTACAAAAAAG